AAAACAAAATCAAAAATATGAGAGTGTATATTTGTAAGAGAGCCGCCACACGAAAACAGAGCATCAGGAATTCAGCCGGACAGGGACAGATCAAAGGACAAAAGAACAACATAGAACTTTAGTCGTAGCAATATGTAAGATAAATAGCTAAAATATAATATTAATATACAAATTGAGTGCTAAAACTATTTAAAATATCATGAAGACTAAAGGTAAGGCCAGAGCTTGCTAGTTGAGATAAAATCTGCTAAGACAGCCTTCTTAAATGATTTAAAATTTGTCATTGGATCCTAGCAGTATGAGGAAGATTGTTCCATAGTAGCACTTCTCTTGGCGAGTCAATGTATTTTCTATAACACTATCTTAATCTCTCGACGTTCTGAATATTGAAAATTAACTAACAATGAACCGATAATAAGTATTTTACTGATAAAAACAGATTAGGAACATTTGATTGGTCGAAGAATGTTCCATTTTCTCTAACTTTCCAGGTGTTAATTCTCAAAACAGCAAAGCATTGTGGGGAATATTTCTGCCAGCAAGGACGCGTCCCATCCCCATGATTCATTGCAGGAAGTGGTGTATTGTGATCGCAGTGTGTTGTGGATATATCAGTGACAAGCACGAAGGAACAACATGGCTGTATTTTACCAAGCCTTTCAAGAATGGTTTTGGTCCGAGAACTTTTGGCTCCCTGCGAACTACACATGGCAGGACATACACGAAAAGAAGAACCCAAAATTCATTCAGTCGGGAGAGCTGTACCTTTGTCTGCCTGTTGCAGTTGCCCTGATTATTCTACGAGTATGTTTTGAAAGGTTGGTTGTAAAGCCTATTGCCTTCTATTCATCTCCAACAGGAAAACTACATACGGTTAAAAAACCGATGTCCGAGCCATACTTACTCTTCAGAGTTTTTTGAGAATAATGAAAAAAGGTCTTAGTTTATTGACCCATGAACTTATAGTTTTTATTTTTTCTCATATTTTAGCATTGTCGACCCCTTTTCACCTTTTTAAGTGTCTTAAATTAGTCCGGTATGACCCTGAAATAATTACATGAAAAAAGAGAGCTGTAGTTCAACTTTTCAAATAAAATGTAGTTATGATGATTAGCGTGCCCAAAGTACTTAGTGCGATATTGATCATGTGCTACTACTGTAGATCGTTCAACATGGTTGAACTGGTCAGTCAAATGTTTCATTAGCGATTTTGTGACTTAAATAATTTATTCACTACATTTGTATATAAGCAAGTTTTGCCTATTCGCGTCGCGTGTTTAGAAAGAAACCTCGTGGTGAAATCAAGTGAGCCGTTAAGGAAAGGATTGTCGGTATGTTTTGGCGTGAATAAGAATAAATACATTCTCCTAACTCACTTAGAGTTGAATAATGAAATCAGCAATATTATGAATTCATGTTCTGTACATTTGTACTTTTAACCATTGTTATAGCTGCTGTTGTTATTCTTCTACCCATACTATCCATAACAAAAGCAAATCAAAACTTTACAACTTACTGACAGTAATGACAGTTATAATAATTATGAATATTGGTCCTTATTGTTTGAACTGTTAATGATTTCACATTTGACTGAAACCATTCAACTCCAATGAACGGATTGAAAGTTTCATATATCCTTATCACTAACTCTTACTTACACGCTTTTAATTCAGAAATGTTAAAGAAAGTCATATTTGATGGCCATGAATTTCTTTTCTGCATTTTTTTGATATTTTCGATTTAAAAAAAAAAGATTCTCTGATAATGATAATAATAATAATAATAATTGTTAGAATGATAAGGAATGACGATAAGATATTATGAAAGACATTGATAGCAACTTAGCCTAGGTGATCCCGCAAAGTTGTAAAGTGTAACTTATCTCACAGATTAAATAAAAATGTCCATAATAATAATGATGATGATGATGATGACGACGGTGATGGTGGTGATGATGATGATGATAATGACAGTGGTGGTGATGCTGATGCTGCTGATGATGATGACTAATCCCAATAATTGAAAAACATCTCAATCTGAATGAGTTGATGGAGGACCAACAACAAGGTGCAAGGTAGAATTATAGTGGAACAGTAGATGATCTTCCTATTGATAGGATGGTAGCCCTGGATTGCCATCGTAGGAAGAGAAATCTAAGCGCTGCTTGGATTGATGTTATAGAAAGGTCTATGATACAGTAGATCATGGGTACCTGCTTGAAGTGATAGAAGTACGCCGGTTTCCAGACTGGTTGAAGGCTATGATAAGCAAGTTATGCAGTTATACCAAAATTAACCTACAGACAAAGAAAGGCTAAGAAACATCTAACGTCATCGATTTCAAACAAAGACTACTGCAAGGTGACTCCCCCTGTCCAAGGTTGTTCACATTGTGTCTGAACCCATTGACATGGAAACTTGCAGCAACAGAAGGGTAGTCTAAACCAATCAATGCAAAAATAACACTTCAGATGTATTGTATATTGATGACTTGAAAGTTTATGCCCAGTCTTTAAGCAAGCTCAGCTGTGTACTGAAGAACACCAATAGCTGCATGGAGAATATTGGTCTACAGCTCAATCCTAAAAAGTGTAATGTTATAAATGTGAGACAAGGTGAAATATCTCATGATCAAAGTAAGTAAAACAGTGATTTGCAGTACAAAGTCCTTGGAATCGTGGAGAATGTAAGACAGGAAGGAGAAACTTACACTAGAATGCGCTGAAAAGACCTACTTACAATGACTGGCAGTAATTTGGTCGAGACTGCTTTCAGATGTGAACCGGGTTGTTGCTTCTAACCCTAGCAGTTTTAAAATACCCTATGTGGACAAAGCACTTGTCGTTGACAGAACTGAGAAGAATAGACAGAGAAGCATGAAAGATCATTGTCACAAGATAAGGAAAACACCCAGCATCATCCAGTCTTTTATCTGCTTAGAGATAAAGGAGGATGTGGTGTACAGTCTGTAGAAGGAGAGTATAAACTCACAAAAATCAAAGCAGTCATGAAACTCTACTCAAACAAAGATCCTGGCATGAAAGTGGTGAGAGAGTTTGAAGAACGCACTGCTAAAATGGGACACAAGTCGAAGATAACAGAAGCCAAAAGGTGCTGCGAGGAATAAAGTCTAAAGTTAAAACTGGTTCATCCAGAACCAACGGTGTGTAAAGATAATGGAAGGGAGATGAATGTAACAAAGGAAAAGGGACTATTAAAGTCAAAGTTTGAAGAACAGCTGCTAAAGACGGTACATGATGAAGCATGGCAAGGAAAACTACATACAACAAGATGGGATGATGACACCCTTAATACTGAGAACTGCTTTGCATGGCTAAAAGAGTGGACGACATGCCTAACTAATGTGGTGGCAAGAATGTACGAGCTTTATGAACAGCTTCTACCTACAAAGATATATCAAGTGAAGAAGCTTAAGACATCACAGTCAAGCACCGTGACCTGTCGTATGTGTAATAAGAAACCAGAGAGTGTTGCTCACATGTTAGCGGGATGTTCAGCTATTGCACAGAACAAGTACATAACAAGACACAGTAATGCGCTGAAAGTTTTATACTTTGAGCTGTTACGAGAACTACAGCTGATCGATAGTGTTCCAGCATGGTACTCACCAATAAGACTGAAACAGGAGTACATTACCGATGACGTTCATGCACTCTGGAACATTCCAACTTACAGCGAGAACCATGAGTTAAAAGTCAACAGAATTGATGTTAAAATTGTAAATCACAAAAACAAGGAAGTGGTGATTCTGAAGATGAGCTGCCCATGGGTGGAGAATAGAGAAAAGAAAGATAAAGAGAAGACGGTGAAGTACAGTCCGCTGCTTTGGGAATTGCAAGATCAATACCCTGGGTACAAAGTACATCAGTACAATCTCATTATGGACGTGTTAGGAGGATGGTCAAGGAGTATGAAGGAAGATCTGCGAAGAAAATTAATGGGAAAAAAGACCAAAGATGTGCTACGGAATATGTAGAAAGCAGTATTATCAGGAACTTCAAATATAAATGAAGATTTGTAAAGAATATTTATTGTTGAGCATATCTAGTTGTGAATAGTTTGAACACTCGTAGTTTACGTTTATGAGTGTCTTTGAATTGCAAAGAGTGATCCAGATGTTAATAAGTATAGGAAATCGCACGAACAGTACAATTTGGAAATTAATAGACATGAGTAATGTTTTGAAAGTTCTTGTAATTGCACGAGCCTTTAGGCGAGTTTAATTAAAGAATTTTCGAAATATTACGAGTGTCTATTAATTCCAAATTGTACGAGAAGATCGTGCAATTTTTTGTTTATAGTTCACTCAACAAAATTTCAGTAAAAAATGCGAAGTGACGCCATTCATCTTTGTCTCTTTGGTGGCCGATTTTCAGTCCATCGCGCAACTGAAATGCATAAAAAAGATTAGTTCTTACAGCTTTGAAATCTTATTTATATGATTTTTAAGTATAAAATGATAGAAAATAATTGTTTTGACATTGTTTTGGCCGTGTTGCCATAGCGACTTAATTCGGTACTCCTATGGAGTACAATTAACTCTATCATTATATTCCTCTCGGCCAATCAGAGTCGAGTAATTTTGTTGAGCGTACTATAAACTGCATATTAATAATGATAATAATAATAATAAAAATAATATACTTTATTTCAATTATGACATTTCCACTTCTGTGCAATATGAACTAAAATCAATGTACAATAATATTGAATACCTAAAATACCTAAAGCTAAATTTCATATATTATAAGAAAAGAATAAAAGAAAAGACATTGTTAAGCGCTAAATTAAAATCAGTTCGTTTAAGAATCATTTCTGAGCATCCAATTCTGTAATTATTTGACGATAGATATATTAATAAAAACTAACATTTAAAAGCTTTCCTAGAAAGATATGTTTTGGCTAATCGCTAAATTCACTAAGGCTACTACTGCATCTAATATTCAACTCATTCCATAGTTTATATGTTACACTGATACCTTTGGTTTTGACCATCCACTTGGTTTGCTTAAGTCAGTAAGTCTGTTTTGAAAGAGGTGATAAATTCAATATGAATTCAGGGTCAAAACTGGGAAACAGGTGGTGCCTTTTTAATAATGCAAAGTATTAAATATGCAAATGGTTAGACCCAAGTCTCCTAACAGACAATTAGTCCCTCCCCACCTACTGTTAGTACTATTTTTGAGAGAGGACTACTGTCAGCCATTAAAATGGTCTGGTCCCAGAGGAAAAAACACTATTACAACAGAGCCATAAATAAATGCTGGTCAGTCTCTGGCTGTGTTGACTGGCCAAATTAGTTTTAGCTTGTCATACCTCGTCCCTGGCTCAATATTGCTAGTCAAAATAACTAACAAGAAAAAGATTTGACCAGAAAAATTCCAATTGGAGAATTGGAGAATTGAATTGGAGAATGGTTGGCTTTCAATTGCTGTTTCATGCAGAATGTTCAGCAACTGAATTGCAAGTATTCATTAGAATATTTATTGCTTACAGCATATGGCCCCTGTTTAATCTCCATTTAGAGCAAATAATGAGATTCATATTAAAGACTGAAACCTAGCAATTTCAGTTTGCCATCCTTCAAAAACATCCTGTAGGCTGACGTGCTGTCAGTTTCATGCTGTTATACAGCTGTTTCCTCACTAAGAGGAAAAATTATCATGAGGCTAGGCCTGAGTAGATGGGTCTGTTACAAGGAATATAGCAATAATTTGGAACTCAAAAATGGTCTATTATGATACAAAGAATTTTGCCGTAGCTCTTGTTTTTACCTGTTTTTAAATTGTTTTTGATTTTTCACAATTTCAGGGTCATAGCAGGTCCTTTTGTCCAGTATCTTGGAGTAAAGGAGAAAAAAGTTCACTTCATTGGTAATCCTTTCTGTGAGAAAGTGTATCAGACTATAAATAAATTTCCCAGTCAAGAAAGAATCGTAGGGCTGTCTAAACAACTTGGATGGCAAATACGAGAAGTAGAAAGATGGTTTCGACACAGACGCATGCAGGCTAAACCATCTCTTCTTAAAAAGGCAAAGGAGAGTAGGTATGTACCTACAATTAGTATTGATCTCTTTAGCTTTGGCATAATATTTTCCAATTTCTGACTATAAGTCATTCTGTTGAGAATAAGATTCTTTGTTTGAGTTATATCCACATTCATTTGTTGCTACAGAAATAAAGTTTGGTGATCAGTAGTGTGGCTAAGAGGTTTGAACAACTTTTTCTGCAGCATTGTTAGATTATATATTATATAATAATAATAGTAATAACAACAATAAAGAGAGAACGAAACATCACTGAATGGTGGTGGAGTTGTTCACTGTTGTTCTTGCTTTATTTTAATTATTTTTTCCTTTGTTTTTCTAGTTGGAGGTTTGTGTTCTACCTTAGTGCTACAATTTATGGATTTTTAATACTTCGTAAGGTATGGTATCAATTTTTTATTCTAAATTAAAGGGGAAAGAATCCTAGTTCTAATAGTCTCCTTCACAGTTCCCTTCACCATCTTGAAAGGCAGGTGTGCCTTTGAATCAAAGTGAGACAGGGTGAGCAATGATAGAGTTGTGAATAATTGTCCAAGGTGTTAAAAAAGGTCTCTATCATTGCAAGCTCACCTTTTGTCTCGCTTGGATTCAAAGGCATGCCTACCTATCAAGATAGTGCAGAGAACTGTGAAAGGGATTATTGGCAAACTGGCATCTAGTTTGATTGTCTTACCAGTATATTGTTTTGAAACTATGTCCTTTGAGAGCACTTGAATTAAGACTTAGCAGTAGAAATGTGAAAATGCTCTTGAGATTGACTCTTGAAGGAATTTAAAAATACTATTCATAACAAATTTGATTAAAAAGAAAATTGACATACCACCTTAAAGTACAACATAGGCACCGTTCAAAAGGGTTGAATTGAAAGCATGCGAAGGCACCTCTAGCAGCCACTATACAGTACATGTATAACCCAGGAGCACAGCTCTAACCAGTTTGTATTAGTTAGGGTTGATTTGAGAGGAGGGAGGAACACTGGTGGACTGGAAAAGCCCTCAGAGTCTGAAAGAGAACCAACCAATTCAGCTCACATGGGGCGACTGGTACTCAAACCTGGGACCTCAGAGATATAATACCTTATTAGAATTAGAAGTAGAAATTCCTGGTGTAAAAGCATTAATGCAATCATAGCTTTTCAAGTTCATGTTTTTAACAAGTTTTTATAAGCTTTCGAGTGACATGTGGGAAAATAAAATTTGCACTGTATATCTGGTTCTTCTGCCAGTGGTAATCTATTATTATATATTATTGTTATTATGATGGGTCTGATCTATATACTTTAGCAATATTAAAGCTATTTTACTCTTCATTTTTCAGGAAAAATGGCTTTGGGACCCAAAATATTGTTTCATTGGCTTTCGCAAACAGGTGAAAGGTTTTAACAATTTTTAAAGTATTTTTAAGTGTTGCTTCAAAATGACAATATTGGCACTTTTCTAGCCAAATGCCTCTTTCACTGGTCATTAGTCCAATCACAGGGAGCCCAATTTAGATGTAAGTGAATGGTAAAAATAGAATCTGAAAAATTAAATAATAATTTTTTTAAATTTGAGGTCGAGATAATGTCCTCCTTGCATTTTTGCATGTTATATATTTTAAGTCAGTCTGAATGGAGTCAGTCAGAATTCAGTTTTCACATGAAATTGTAAATTATCGCGCCTACGGCTTCAGTAGATATCAGATGATAACTTATGATATCATGCACAACCTCTTCCAATAATATTGTATATTACCATTCAAGTGTATTACTCGTACTTATTGAAATGTTTTTCTACAGATCATGTCTGAAGAGCTTTTTCTATACTACATTGTAGAATTGGGATTCTATGTGTCACTCACTATTTCCCAATTTGTAGATGTACAAAGAAAGGTATTGTGCCATGCTCTTTGTTATGTATGGGGTTCAACTGGGGAAATATAATTCTACCAAACCTGAGCCTTCAATGCTTAGAACAGTGGAAATTTCCATAGACTTTTTGAGTGGTCTAGTTTAGAACTACGGAGACCATTGGTATAGGACCTATATACTGGAACAATTCAAAAATGTCTAGAAGTCAAAACAAAAGGTTATTGGTTATTATTGGATACATGCTACATCATTAAGCTGCCATGTTGGTGGACATTAACAAAGCATTTGACATTCTTATTAAATCAACCAACACCAACATGGTGATTGTTTCATTGTTATTTATAATTATCTCATTACAGGATTTTGAGTCATGTGGTTGCACTCCAAGAATATGGCTGTTCATTTACTGTGTGTGTGTCTTGTTGTTTTCTAGGACTTTTGGCAGATGCTGATTCATCATATAGTTACTATTCTCCTGTTAGGGTTTTCTTATGCCACTTCGTTTTTTCGCATTGGTGCAGTCGTAGTATTGGTTCATGATATAGCAGATGTATTTTTAGAGGTAATAATGTGTTTTAAATACTTTTGAGCTACCAATAATAGACCTTTACCATATTGACACTTGATGCAGGTGTCTCCTCATCATGGGGAAACAACAGTTACTGATACAACAGACTTGTTAGTTATGGAGGGCATTAGTAACAGTACACATTTCAGCCACGTTGTTTAAAGTTTTGTGACATGTGAATAATTGTCCAAGGGGTTAAAAAAGGTCTCTATTATTGCAAGCTCAATGTTCGTCTTGCTTCGATGCAAAGGCCCGGCTACCTTTCAAAATGGCACAGGGAACCGTGAAGGGGACTATTACACAAGCCTTGAAAAAAAGCATTTTCTAGTGGGCCTATCTGTCAAATAACTTAAGTGAATATCATAGATCAGCACCTCATTATAGGCAAATTTGTTAGTAGACTGATTATAATTATGTATTAAATATTAGGTTTTAGTTTTAGCTTTTAGAATTCATATATTTATTGTTATTGATATCACGGCTCTCTGGAAGAGCATATTGTATGACGAGACACTGTGTTAAAATAAAAAAAGGTTATTATTTTTTGGGACTACCCTTTAGCTAAAATTATCCCCTCTTATAGTTTCTTATAATTATGATTCTTTATCTGCTAATAAATATGCTTTTTTTTTATTCAAATCTCTTTTTCTTTTTGATTACAGGCAGCCAAAGTGTTTAACTATGCAAAACTACAAAAGATTTGTGATTTTCTGTTCGCCATCTTTGCTATCTCATTCTTTGTTTCTCGTTTGGTTCTTTATCCGTTCTGGTGGGTATCAAAATATCACAATGTTTTCTGCATCTTTGTCTCTACCCGTACTCATTTATCTAAATTTTGCCTTATACAAATTTACATAATATATTAATATCATATAGTATTATATACTGTTTAATAAATGAGCAGGAGGCTCAAAGGCTCAATTATTATTTTTCATGTGTTTTTGAAACTATAAGGCAATGTGTAGTTCCAAAAATTATCCATACCCCCCTCATGGAGAAATTTTTTAAGACACCCCCCTACCCCCTGGAAATTCCAATTTTCTTCCATATAAACTCTGTAATTTTTGTTCTTTTTCTGACCCTGGCCCCTACTCTTCGGAAATTCCTAATTCCTCTGTGGCAGAATATATCTTCTTATGACGATATGGCTATCCCCCTAGAATAAACCCCTAGAATGGCTTGTGAAGGACCATTGCACCAACCCTGATTGTGCCCCATTTATCTTGTTACAGGGTCGTTGATAGTGTTTGGAATAGCTGGGATTCAGTTGGATATTTTTGCTCCTGGTATCTCTTCATTACCTTGCTCCTCATGTTACAGGTATTCAGTGTTGCCATAAATGTTTTTATACAATATTTTTTTTACAACATTTATAATTCTTACTTGAAAACAATACAAAA